ATTCAAAATCACTTCGACTATCATGAAAATAAAGTATTTTACATCAATCACTATCTTGCAAGGAAACTACTAGAAGGATGCTCATAGTAAGGGTAACTAGAGTATTAGCTGTGTTTTCTGGAATATTTGGATGAAACATGGAGTATTTAGATTTGACCTTTACGTACAAAACACAAGTGTAAAAATAGATTCTCAGTCATCTAATACAAAAATGTAATTAAGAGGCCAGTTATCATGAAGTGACTATTTCTATTCAAAATGCAGAGCTTATTCTCATACATCAGTTCAGTGCCTTGGTGTCAGGTGCTGTCTAAATGGAAAACTGAGCAATAGAGCTATCTTTAGGATTTTGTTAATTCAAGAAACATGTCAATGTAAATCCAGTCAAATTAGGCCATATTCTCAGTTGACATTACATATACATCTAAAAATTTTAAAACACTAGAACATGAAATACTTAACATTAAAGTGTATTCCATTTACTACATAAAGCACACATTTTCTAGATCATGTTATTGTATGATTTAATTTTCATAAATATATATTATCTCCACTACCTTCAAAGGAAAGCACTATTCCTTTTTTATCTGCAAATGACCCTACACTTATTTTTCCCACTGAAAATAGTAATATCCAGTTTTCCGACTGATTTGACTCTACAGACAACATAGCAGATCAATTATTCTTAAAGAACAGAATTTCCCTAGGTATGTGACATTTTTATACAGAATAATTTTACACAGTAAGTAGAGCAGATGTGAAACAGCCTAGGAGGAAATTATACTTTTTCCAATTTTCTTTTCTTATATCTAAAGAAAGAAATTATATCAAGGGTAGTTTCAATTTGGTACAAATATGTCTTGACCATCTTTCAAATAATAGCTAGTATTTTTTTAAACAAACACAAAAGACCTCCTGATAAACAAACACTATCTTCTTAGAATTTAATAATATTTCCTTGCTTACCTTTACATTTATTTTTAGAATTACCATCTATTTATGGCAAGCAGTACTATTCTGGTTTCCTGATTTTAGCAATTATATAAACTTTCCCTTTAAATAAATTTAAGTTGAAAAAGTGAAGTCATTTAAAGAAAAATATTAGGACAACAGTAATACATATGGGATACAGATATAGTCACATTTGTGGGATGGAAATCACAGTGACTAAAGTGGGATAAATAGAGGTAATCAATCTGTTAAAAGTACTTATTCATTCATCAATTCCATGTTGCTTAATGTTGTTATTTTTTCATCCACGTATTACAGGAATGTTTAAATTTTCATTTCTTTTAGGAGCTATGGTGGTATAGTACCTAAGGCATTTGAAAGCTAACCAGAAGGCTGGTGGTGGTTCAAACCTACCAGCCATTCCTTGGAAGGAAGACTGGGCAATCTACTTCCATAGAGATACAGCCTCTAAAACCCAAGGAGGGGTTACTATGAGTTGGAATTGCCTCAACGGCAGTGAGTTTGGTTTGATTTTTTGTAGGACTGGTAGAGACCTCTAGTCTATTATCTAACCTAAAGAGTATGTGGGAGCTCTGGTGGCGTAGAGCCTAAGGTACTTGACCAGTAACCAGAAGGTTGGTGGTTTACACCCACCAGCCACTCCTTGGAAGGAAGATTGAGCAATCTACTTCCATAGTGATACTGCCTCAGAAACCCAAGAAGGGGTCACTATGAGTCAGAGACAACTCAACAGCACATAACAACAACAACAAAGAGTAGGTATATAGTAGATCATTTATAAGATTTAGTTAGTATTGCAAGAGGAAACTTAAAATATTTTAGTGGTTATTTGTTTGGAGATGCCATGAAAAGTGCTGTATCACCACATGTCATGAGAAACTGATATTTCACCACAATATGAACCTGAAGGTCTACATTTTTGGAGTACCACATAGGCAAGACCATATTCTAAGCAGGTACTTTACACTAAAATAATAGTGTTCACCCTTTGTTCTGCCATAACAAAAGCAGATGATGTTCACATACTAGATATACTCCTAGGGGCAAATGTAAATTTTGACAAAATTCTCCCCTCCCCGCCAATCCCCCCACCCCCGCCCCCAGAACATTTAGGCAATGAATGGCTGTAGTTGTTGGTTATGCTATTGGTTTCCAGTATGGTTTCCATCCAAGAAAAAAGAAATCAAGTGTTAAGTAAATGCAAATACACCAATATAATCTGCTCAGGTGGCATACTGCGTAAGGCATTTGGCTGCTAATCAGAGGTCAGCAGTTCAAACCCACCAGCTGTTCCATGGGAGGAAGATGGGGCAATCTTCTTTTGTAAATATTTACAGCCTCAGAAACCCAGAGGGGGTTGTTATGAGTCAAAATTGACTTGATGACAGTGATTTTTGTTTTTGGTTTTTATTTTATTAAATAAATCATTCACAAATTTCAGTATTTACCTATTGTTTTAGTAACACATACTTAAGGTGTAACTAATAACTGACCAAACCAACAGTATCTCATGAGACTTTGGTCCTAACTCTTCCCTCATATTGTACAGCTGTGTTATTGTCACTTTTTATACTTACTTAGGTTAGAAATACAGAGGTAACAATTGGAACAAAGCATGATTTGCAGATGAAGTAACCTAAGTGAATGGGGACGGTACTAAGTTGTTTTTCACCTGATAAAATAACCAATAGTCCAAATTTACATGCAGCACTTTAAAAAGTAAGCCTTTTATAATATGTTGAAAAACAACTTTGTAAAAAGATGGAGAAAAACAAAGATCTAAGCTTTTTACTCAAAAGTAGAATAATCCATAGATGATAACATAAAATGTCTCATATGTATTAATATTTTCTACAATATCAGTAGAAACTAATTACTTCTTTTATGAGTAAATTTTAATATTCACTGACAACACTTATAGTGCTATAGTATATTTTATTTGAAATTTTAAAAATAGAGGTGCAAATCAGTAAGTTCTTTAAGTTAGGTGGTATAACCAACTATTGGCCTAAGGAATATATTACAGTTGATCTTCAAACAACACAGGTTTGAACTGCATGGGTCAACTTATATGTTTTCAGGATATGGGTCTTGGAGCGAGCTACTAGACACCACACCAGAAGAATTAACAGATGACTCGATGGAGACAAGTGCTTCTGAACCAGTGTCAGATATGAGGAAGAAGATGGAAAAGAAGTAGTGCCAGCAAACAAATTGACATTAGATAATCTGACAGAAGGGTTCCAATTATTCAAAACTACTTTTATGACATGGACCCTTCTATAGTACAAGAAATGAAACTAAAGCAAATGGTAGAATAGGGATTTGTACCTCATAGAAACATTTTTAGAGAATTAAAAAAGTAAAAAATCAGATAGAAATGATGATGGTATTTTACATAAAGTTATAATGAGTGTGCCTGCCTCTCCTGCCTCCCCTTCTACCTCCTCCAACTCTTCCATCTCTGCTACCCCTATGACAGCACAACCAACCCCTCCTCCTCTTCCTCCTCCTCAGCCTACTCAAAGTGAAGACAAGGAAGATGAAGGCCTTTAGGATGGTCCACTTCCACTTAATGAATAGTAAATAATCATCATGACTACAATTAAGAAACTTATCTGTTGTCTATGTGTGTGTCTTCATGTGAAAATCTAGTAACTATATGGTAAGAACTGCCCTAATCAACTGCTTATGTTATTGGTAAGGTCAACAATAGGTTATTAATAGTTATTTTGGGGGGCATCAAAAGTTATACACAGATTTTCAACTCCATGGGTGGAGTTGAACCCCCAAGTTGTTCAAGGGCCAACTGTACATGTGATCTGTGCTGTAATATAAGTAGTTTGCTTAAAGGCCCAGAGATCTGCTCAATTTTACTGACACAAATATAAGTCTTAAACTGGACTAACACAACATGCCTTTTAGGAAAAATAAACTCTATTCTGAATTACAACAGACCTGTGAATTCCTTAATATATATGTGTTTTGCTCTTGCTGTTATAAAAAAATCATTCAAGAATCATTTTTACTTCATAATTACATTATGAACTTACCTACACCAAAATAACAAGACTAGAGCATGGTCAACATGAAGTTTTATACATCATAATAACAAAACCATCCTTTTTTTTTTTTTTTGCATTTCTACTGATTATACAAATGGCCCAAAACTGTCAATAAAGCTTGTGAAACAAATTTGATAAATGTAGAGACATGAACTAATATTATAGTAAATCAATTCACATTGCCTATGTTTACAGTGTTTCTATAAAAGAATGTGAATTAAGGAAGCCAAAGTGAAAATAACACTTAAGCAATAATTCCAAATTAAACAAAGTAGAAAAATAGAACTTTACGCTCAAGAACCATTCATATACACATTAAAAGATACTCACACATATACTAAAAACACAATCATTGTTTTTTTTTTTCCTGAAATATTCAGAATTATCTAATAATTTTACTATTACTTTTGGACTTCGGTCCTCTTTAATAAAACTTAGAATCAGATTCTGTTCTTTCTAAACCATTACTATAAAATTTTATAAGAATCTACCTTTCTTAAGTAATTAAAGAAACAATGTGATATAATATGTTAATCAAATACAAATGGAGATACCCAAAAAGAACTTTCTGTGTCAGAGTAAAGGAAGTAGAAAAAAGATACATTTCACTCTCTTGCATTACAGGACTACAGAGGTTACAGAAATATCTGTGTAAAACAGTTCCTATTTTTGCTTAGTAGTAGGCACTGTAAGCATCAATAGCTCAACTGATTAATATTCCCAATGAGGCAGAAATGCAAATTTTAGGAAAACAGCCTATAATATTTCAATCAAATAAGTGAACACAGAGTGTTTTGAAACCATCAAATTGCCAAGCTTATAGTGGCAGACAAACAAAACAGACGTCTCCTGTTTGTTGTATTAAAATTACCTCCCAAGTATCCTTCAGACATTTCAGGCCCAACTGTAATTCTGTGTTCACTTATTGTGTGCTTGACAGTAATGTGATCTAATAAGTACTACCATGATCTTTGAGACTGCGAAGAATCACAGCGGGAAGGCTATGGGACTGCCACCCTGTTACTAATTCGGCCTCTAGCTCCTTAATGTGGGCCCTGAGCATGAGGGGTGGCACTTTCAGGAGCAGCTCAAAAGGCAGCAAAGCTGAAGAAATAAAAGGGGGAAAGATATGAAACTTCAACATCAATTACAATGAACATCAGTGACATATGTGTGATTTTATGGCTGCCAATACTAAGTTACCTGGTCTGGGTCTTGATCCTATTCCACCAGTGAAGTCTCTGAAAGCAGAATAAGAGGCCATTAGAGTGACTTATTAAACTTTGATTTAACAAACATTTACTGAGGGCCTACACTCTGCTGTGGTCTACATTATAAAAATAAATAAAGGTTATTCCCTCTCAAGATGTTCTCAAGAGTTTAACAGAGAAGGAAATAAACACATTCCAACCCAAAGCAGAACTGACATTCTTCTGAAAAAGGAAAGAAACCCTATCACAATCCTTTATGAGTTCTAAATATGACTGAGGGGTCTAATTGTTAATGCTCTGAATGGTTTTCTTACACTTAAAATCAAAATCCTTTTTTATATTTTGAATGAATTAACATTTTTATCTTAATGATATATTTGTTAAAATTCAATACATCTAAAATATTATCATTTCAACATGAGATCAGTATAAAAATTGTGAACAGGATATTTTACATTCTTCTATTCATACGGTCTTAGTTCACCAGTGCTGCTTTAACAGAAATACCTCAAGTGGATGGCTTTAACAAACAGGAATTCATTCTTCACAGTTTAGGAAGCTAGCAGCCCAAATTCAGGGTGCCGGCTCTAGGGGAAGGCTTTCTCTTTCTTTGGCTTTGGAGGATGGTTCTTGTCTCTTGTGAGCTTCTGCTCCTGCCTGTCTCTCTTGCCTTGGCATCTCTTCCGTCATCTCTGCTTCTCTGGATTACTTATTTAATCTCTTTTATATTTTATAAGAGATTGATTTAAGACACATCTTATACTAATTCTGACTTATTAACATAAAAAAGACAACTCATTCCCAAATAGGATTACAAACACAGGCTTCCAAACCAAACAAAACCCATTGCCATAAAGTTGATTCTGAATCATAGTGACCCCCCATTGGGTTTCCAAGGTTGTAAATCATTATTCAAGTAGATTGTCTCATCTTCCTCCTGCACAGTAGCTGGTGGGTTTGAACCACCGACCTTCTGGTTAGCAGCCAAATGCCTCACCCACTATGCCACCAGAGCTCCTTATAAACAGGTGTAGGGGTTAGGATTTATAACACATAATTTTTGGGAACATAATTCAATCCATATTACATAATACTGTTGCTGTTCAGTGGCAATGAATGTGGATTTTTCACTTAAATGATATCTCAATTTGTACTAATCCCATTGGAAGTGCTCAATAGCCACATGTGGTTAATGGCTACGGCATTGGATGGCACATGTCTATGGAGGAGGTATTTCTATACTAATCCATACACCACTGGCCAAAATGAAAGCCTAGAAACTGGACCTGGGAGCACAGGGGAGGGGACAATTCATCTCATCTTGGAATTGCTTCCAAATGCTTCCCAGAGGAAAGGATTCTGAGTAGGGACTTGATTTCATCCAGAAGGGAAGAACAACAGTGATGAAGGTAGGTGCATCTGTCTAAGGGCTGGTGAAAAGTAAAGACCTTCTTCCCTGAGCTGGTTTAGTCTCAATATTCTTCAGGATGACTTGACTTTTGCAATGGGATTTGAGTTCCAAGAAGCATAACCAGTTTTCAGTACTGGTGTTTGCTCAGAGCTCAGTGCTTAGAACTGAATAAACCAATTCCTACTTTCTAGGAGTTCATCTATAGACCAAAAACAAAACCAAACCAAACACTGCTGTCAAGTCAGACCCACTCACAGCGACCCCTCCTTGGGTTTCTGAGGCAATATCACTACAGAAGTAGATTGCCCCACCTTCCTTCCGAGGAGTGGCTGGTGGATTTGAACCACCAGCCTTCTGGTTAGCAGTCAAATGCCTTAGCCACTATGCTACCAGAGCTCCCATCTATAGACCAGTATTTTTAAATTCAAGTGAGCATCACAAAGATCTGGAAGGCTTCCTTTTTTTTTTATTTTTCCCCCTTATGAAGCTCTGGTAGCATAGTGCCTAAGGCACTTGACTACTAACCAGAAGGCTGGTGGTTCAAATCCACCAGCCACTCCTTGGAAGGAAGGTGAGGCAATCTACTTCCATAGTGACACTGCCTCGGAAACCCAAGGAGGGGTCTCTATGAGTCGGGTCTGACTCAACAGCATATAACAACAACAACATGTTTAACTTAAAATAAATAACATTTAAAATTGTAAATACAGTATCTTCCCAGGCTCTGTTCCTGTTGTCTTTAATAAAAGCTATAACTCTTCCTATGAAATGAGATGATTTTTACATTTCTGAGAGTTTCGATTTTTCTCAAGTTCCTAGTGTTGTTAACATCTCTTGTTTTCTCTGCTCTAAAATTCTAAATTGTCTTGTCATTTTGTACATTGATCTCAGCATTTTCCCCCCTTAGACCACATCAGGGACAGCCAAAAATAATCTTCAACCTTGTTTCTTCCACTAAAACCTTGAACAAATTTCTTAACCATTTTCTGGAATGAAATAAGAAACATGTGTGCCCTGACAAATTATAAGAACTGTACTTCGATTTAAGACAATCCAACAAAAATATATTGGACATCTATTATGTATAAGGTACATGCTATCATTTTATTGGATATGAGTCAATGCAGGGATTCACATACAAATAAAAATAGGTAATAATTCTCTTACCCCAACCCTTTCATTTTCTAATCAGAATTTTCATTGCATACATGCAACACATATCTAAGTTATTAAAATTATCCAACTTAAGAACTAGAATAATACCAAAATCTTTGTAACCACCTTTGAGTTTCTTCCCTTTTGCCTTTCTCCCTTGTCTCTCATTGAGCCAGCCCTCTCAGATACCTTTATTTTCTGTCCAATTTCCAGCCCATGTTTACAGAGCCTTCAAAATTAAATAAAACTCATGTCTCACAGTTTATATACTCTCCCTAGCCCTGGAATAAGGGGAATATTTAAAGAAAGGAAAGCAATGACCCCTTCCCTCAGCAAGTTCAAAGAGGAGTATGATCAGAGCAGTGTCTATGCCTGGGTGGCATAGCCTCAGGCTGAGCTGAGGAGCAGAGTATCTGTTCCGGCACTTCACATCCTTGCACACATGCTACTCCCTAGAAAATACTTTCTGAAGAACCTTGTCCTTGAACCTTCTAGACTTGTCCAGCACTGTCCAACAGAGACATGATGCAAGTCACAACATAATTATAAATTTTCTGGTAGCGAGATTTTTTTAAAAAAAGTGAAATTAATCTTAACCTATTTTATTAACCCAGTATTTCCAAAATGTTATCATTTCAACATGTAATCAATATAAAAATTAATGAAATATTTTTACATTGAGGTTTAACATTTAAGTTAACATAAAACGTAGCCACATTTCAAATGTTCAATAGCCACATATGGCCAGTGGCTACCATATCTGATAGTGAATTCCAGACTCTTCTTTAGAAAGAATTGATCATTGCCTTTATATACAGATTACCACTGAGGTTGATAGTCAGGTGACGTAGCTGCTAAACCTGCAATTCCTGATGGACTCTATTATCTTGAAAAGAGAATAAAAAATGTAACTTAGAGAAAATATTTATTACTAAGTTTATGGGTAGGAGCTCTGGTAGTGTAGTGCCTAAGGCACTTGACTGCTAACCAGAAGGCTGGTGGTTCAAAACCATCAGCCACTCCTCAGAAGGAAGACTGGACAATCTACTTCTGTAGTGATACTGTCTCGGAAACCCAGGCAGAGGTCACTATGAGTCAGGTCCGACTCGACAGCACATAACAACAACAACAACAAGTTTAAGGGTATTCTTGACATGCTGATGACTATTAATGCCTATTCCAGTTGTCCTAAAGAATAGAGCATTTCAAACATTTTGATGTACTGAAAGTATTGTGCACAGCAGTACTAATTGCATTTGTGTACATGAAATAGATCACCCTGACAATGATGAGTTGCTGCCAACTTGGTTACTCTTGTATATAATTCTAAATTCTTTTTTAAGAAACTTCAGGAAGTACTTAAAACTAACCATCACAGTCATTCATTCATTCAGCCAGCAAGTATTTATGAAATGTCCAGTATGTATAGGGACTGCGCTAGGCACTGAAGATGACGGGGTAAAAAGAGATGGTCCCTACAGTTTTGGAACTTAGAAGATCACATGAGTATAGGAGGAGTATTGATATTTTTCTCTGGAAAGTGTATCTCAAATCACAAGAAAATATAGTCATCTAAAATTTCAAAATAAAACAGACTCATTTGGACTATAAGTGACAATTTTTAACTATGCAATTGTTGGTCCATAGATAGACAAAAGATTTAAATTATGCAGAGCCTGGAGGAGTCTGCCTTTAGATTAAATGACACTGAATGTTTATGTCCAACAGAACATTAAGATTACAGAAGATTGTTTTCCCATATCTGAACAAGCAGGAAAATACAAAGAAATGGTTTAACACAAAACAAAACATTCCAGAAATAATTTCTGGTAAAAAAAAAGTTAACATATTGAAGCTTTTGTGCTCTGAAAGCTTTGAAACAGCCATTGACCAGTAACATTTCAAAGAAATACAGAAGTTTGAAAGGATTCTAAAAGGTTATTACTTCCAACTCTCTTCAGAGCTGGTATGACCTCATCCAGAATTCCTAAGCCAAAAGAGAAACTGAAGTGTTAAAAATGAGTGTTGTTGTTGTTGTTATGTGCCAACGAGTCGGACCCGACTCATAGTGACTCCTCCTTGGGTTTCCAAGGCTGTATCACTACAGAAGTAGATTGCCCCATCGTCCTTCCAAGGAGTGGCTGATGGGTGTTAGCCTACAATTTCCTGCCAAAATCACTAACAGGTAAGGTGGAGAATGGAGGTAATTAGCTTTATAAGTTTTGAATTGACCTTTCACTGAATTAATTCAAGCACTGGGTGAATTATCTGGACAATTATTTTGTCAGAGGAGTCCCGGCCATGAAGATGAAACTCTAGAATTTTTTCTCTAGAAGAATTCCTTTAAATATATCTCGGAACCAAGGAAATATTTTCACATGCATTGGAAATGTATCACATAATTTAATTCAATTGTGAAAAGTTAGCCACTATTACTTGATGTTGATAAAAAGAGTATTTAGTT